CTAAGCCTTGGAGAGAGGGCGGACCTGCGCTCTCTCGCAGGTCCGTCCTCTCTTTAAGGCTTAGTCCTGAGGTAAGCATCAAATTGAGGCGGTTTTAAGGACCGAGTTGAAGTAGTCCGTCGACCGTCCCCTTCCCAACATTCAGCATACGGCCCCAGCAGAAGCGCCAAAAGGGCTGGTTTGCTTACTCCCTCGATGACCCGGTTGAGCTCGTACCGTGACTATGTTTCCGTGGGAAAATCTTCTGATGTCGTCGGTGTAGAAGGCTGTTGTGTAACTTTTTGATAGATAATGTGCTCTTTAATATTCAGTTGGGCTCATTTGGTTTGGTTTCGCAACGCGTAATTAATTCCGTTTTGAATGTGAAGGAAGTGACTCTTTTTTTGCCCCCCCCCCTGTAGTTCCTTATCGAGCAAGCTTTTGGCATGTATTGCTTTTATTCAAGTTTTGTATTTTTCTTCTACTCTGAATGAATGGTAAGCGGAAAGCTTGACCTTCTATCCAGGCTACCAACATTTTGTTGCATTTCTGAATAATTTTTCTGAATCATTGTTGATGAATTGGATGGTTTAGAAAACATGAATGCTTCATGGATCAAGAGCGCTTCTTCTCTACCATTCATTCAGCCTAATCGATGACTCATGTTTCTTTTTGTGCGAACCAGATCCGACGCGTAAACGCAAGGTTGAAGAAACGTGCGTGTGTGTCTCGTTCACAAGCCCGTCACGTTTTTAGTTGTGCTGTCGTTGAGAAGGATGACCAGCCTTTTCTCGCCTATCCTTTTCGTTATTTTCTTTGTATTCGAGAGTGGTACGAATTTAAAGGAGAGCACGATTTCTGGGTAGCAGAAATGAGTCACGATAATGTGTCGCACGTCCACAAATGGTCGTTGGAAATTCCTCGGTGTGATCGATAGGCGAAGGCATATCGGAATGAGTCAGCGCTTGCCCTCGAAGACCGCTGTCTCACTACTCTTCCGGTCATTTCTTTTGTCATTCCAAGCGCTCTATCCACATATCTGTTGCTTTTTGATGAGTTCATCTGTAGTAAGTTCGCCATTCCTTCTGAGATTATTAGCTGTGCGTTAAATGTGAATGGTTGCTTCACTGTTCGATATGTGGTATTTGAACTGTGGTTATACTGCTGGATCGTCATGTTGTGAGAGAGTGCAGAGAATCAGAGTACTTATCAGCTGTCGAAGTCCTTTATATAATTTCGACTTTGCTGCGTCTGTTCGAATATCATCATTATTTCAGTGATTAGTCGCTCTGCTATAGTGACGTTTTGCTCGCTAATCGCGGATAATCCTGTCTTGACTCTTCTGCAGATCTCCCGTCAAGATTGATGCAGTTTAGCTCCATTTTTTCTCTAGTAGCAAACCTCTTTGTGTTCGTTACCGGCAATACTTGCATGATTGCTGAATCGAATGGCTTGTCTAATTATTTCTATGGTCAAGACTTTCCAGGTAGAACCTCCTCTCA